CTTCATAAAATTGTAAACATGAAAATATCACTTTATTTTCTCCAGTTATAGAAGTCTAAAAGTCTGTATTTCTGTATTTATAGCTTTGTTTTTCATATTTATTCTTGTTACAACACTGAATATTTTCCATGTGATTAAGACTTGGAATTTTTTTTATCAGCATTTTTATTAGATGCTTAATAAAGCTTTTGGGCTATGTAATGAATATTTCAAGAGTAATTTGTGGCTTCATTAAATGCCTAGTGGCAAACGCTTAGGAATAAATACAACTTTTCATGTTTTTTTTTTCTAACCTACATTTTAATTCGCTGCAAACTTTTGAAGAATTTAGCTTGCTAAGAATTTATTTTTAGTTCTGTTTAGAAGAAAATAAAAATGCAGAATCATGAGGAGTTTGATGTAGCTGCAAATGTGAAGGTTAAACCAGAGGGAAGGTCAGTTTTTATGCAAAAGCCTTTTGAAGTTCTAGATCGATAGTTAATGCCTACAAATTGTACCTGGGTTAAAGTAATGAGAAGGTAATATATAATCAAACTTTATCAGTCAATTATAAAATAGGTAGCAGGTAAATAAGCCAAACAACCCCAAAGAACACAAAAAAAAAAAACAAAATCCAACCAGCCTCCCAAAAAACCTCAACCCAAACCAACAACAAAAACCTAGAGCCACGTCTTGGGGACACCAGCCGTAGCTGTTTCCTTGCTGCTTAACAATCAAGTGCTTGACAGACTGGATTTGGGAGGAAGGGTTGGGATACAGGAACTATTTGCAAGGTGAAACCAATGGTATTGCAGTGAAGTAGAAGGGTATGTGTGCTCAGATGGACCTGATGTGGTGTAGCTGAGAGAAAGGTAATTTATGATACTATAGGTATTTCTCACAGTTGTGTAGGGGCTCAAGTTCTGTGGAAACATCAAAGTTGTTGTTCTGCAAAATAATAGAAATATTGTATATCCATTGGAATTAAGTACTAAAGAGCACAGTTTGTACAATGGGGTTTTACTTTGTAGCTTCATTAAGCAATCATTTCTGCTTCTGTTGAAGACTGGAGAGCAACAGCTGACTAACACCTTAGTTGTGGAAGCTGTTGGAGTTGCTTTTAGTGTCAATACACTTTATAATTTTTTTAGTGCATTGTTGAATAATTAAAATTTTTACTACATCTGCCTAAGCCATACTTATGTGTGAATTGTTAAAATATGTTACTTTGAAGTTCTATTAGATACTGCAAAGGGAGGAAAAAAATCTTGTGCTCTAACATGCAAAAGTTTCACTGTTCTGCAAGAAAAATTACATCTTTGCCAAGCAAATCTATTTTGAAAGGAATGTTGAAGGATAGAGAACAATGTTTTAGAATAGCTCTTAGTTTTTGCAAGTGAATCTTGAGCTATGAACAAATAAGTTTGAACTTGCTAAGATATAATCGGTACTCCTGGAATTACTGGGGTCCTGGATCTTGCCTCAAGTACCCCACTGTAATTAGGAAGTAGCTTAAACCTTAATCGAGGGACAAGCTGCTTCAGTGTTACTGTGCAATGATGGAGTAACTGGGTTACTGCAGAGTACCTGAAGTGCTGAAGGGTCATACCTCACTGACTCCAATATAGTCCATCCACCGTTCCTCAAAAAAAGTCCTAAGGCCATTGTGGGTGTTGTGTTTTACCTCGGATCAACAATATTTCAGAGCATCTTGTATCTTTCTGCAATTAATGCATTTCATCATGGCAACCCACACTTCTCTTCTTTGAATCTGCCATGAGTTATTTTCAAGACCATTTGCAGTTTAATTAACTTCTTTGCATAGTGGTTACTTAGTCTGTAAAATGCAGTATTAGTTCATAAACACTGTGGAGGTGGTCAGATAGTATCGTAGTGTCATTACTGCTGTCATTATTCTGCCTCACCCTGCTCTATCTTTGTAAATGCCGCAGGTGGAGCTTCTGGGAGTAGGTGGAAGGAGTCTGTGCAACTTCTGTGTTGTAGAGTCTCATTAATTATTTTAATAAAGCAAGAGCCAAAGCCTTAATATTGGAGGTCTTTTGTAAGATTGTAAAATAACAAGAGAAGTAACTTCAGTGTGCCTGGCACAGCTGTTTCTATTCCCTGAGTTTAAGTGGCCCTCTCTGAAGAAGGAATACAGGATTGAAAGTCTGGGTAGGTTTCATTGCAAAACTGAAGATGAATTTGTGTGCAAAGGAGTTTTTACACCTTTTCATATATTTACATCTTTGTCAATAAACCTTCATTGAGATTTTTTTTTGGAGCTGTCCAAAGAGGAGTCTTGTTCATTCTCATGGAAATCATTCTGAAAATACATATCCTACAGCAGTGCTGTTCATCCTTCAGGTGTGATACATAGCTCTTGGAAAAGGTGTGGGCTGTGTTAGTTTATACGGAATGGTTTAATGAATAGTATATTCTTTTAGTTTTCTTTATTGAGACACAGGAAATATATGCCATTACTTAGTTATATTGTTGTTGTTGAATATAATATCATCATGCTTGTATTTACTGACTAAATCAGGAGTAAACAATTTAAATTTACATTGTAGCATGTGGTATAAGCAGTTGCAGAAACAAAGATAAGAAATGTTAATTTCTGAAGCTGCAGTAAAATGATGAAGAAGATATTTCTGTAGGATTGATCTCCAGGTGAATTCGTCCACTGATTTTATTCATGAAATCCCTTTCTAATGCCAGATGATGTAGTTAGTAATCTAGAAAATAAACAAGGGGTTGTTCATTATTCTTGCTTTATATGGCAAATACATCTGTTTATATTATCTCAAAGGATCACAATTGAAATGAGCTTCATGGGTGAGTATTACCTTAAAGTGACAAATAATATTGCATGTTTATAATGGTGAACGATACTCAAGATGCGGACTATCCTGTTAAACTATTGCTTGTGCAAATAATTCTGTTGGTCAGCATCTTGAATGTTTTTCCATTAGCTGGAAGGGAAGGAGAAAGGGTGGAGCATCTTGCACCCCCAGTGTGTCTCCAGTACCACAGGCTGAGAGGGATGGTTTGCTCATCACCACTTTGATCCATATATACCATAAAATAAAATTTTTCTTTGTCTCTGCCTTCTACTTTTTTGATGTTATTTAAAAAAAAAAAATTGGAAGATGACAGTACATATGACTGTGTACTCATGGTATAGACACTGTATTTCAGATTTCATCTGTTGGTGGAAGAAGTGTGACCTGCAATTTTCCATTTACTGAGAGATATCCAAGTAGTCAGATGACCTCTAGTTAGTTATGCAGATGTGGGCAGCTTCTGCTAGTGCTTGGGTTTGTCCCCAAACCAACTCTGAATAGCTTCTCTTCCACAGTATGCCCTGTACATATGTAATTATATAAAGTAGATTCTGAAATATTTTTAAATTGCTCTTGCTAGTTATAACTTGGATACTACTGGAGAGCACAGTTTTCAGTTTATCAGGAATAAAAGAAGCTCTGTTAATTGAACTACTTATTAACATTTATTAAAATGTTCAAGTGACTTTGAACTCTCTGGTCTTTAAGTCAGTATTAATTTTTAGGGTTATTCTGTTTTAAATATTTTTTTTATACATAGCTTTGGAACATAATTTGGTGTCTACATATGAAGAACAAATTTAGAATTCTCTGGACACTTTACAAATCTATTAGTGAAGCTTATGCTGAAGTACCTACAGTCTAATTAAATATATATATGTATATACACACACTTTGTATAGATTGTGCATTACTGTTTACATATCTTCCTTATAAAGCATTATCCCCTTTTTAATGTTATAATTTGCAACTTTCCTGGCTGCCAAGAGGCTGTTTGAAAAATCTTTAGAAAGAGGCTGTAAATATGTCATTACAAAACAAATCACAGGCTGTCACCCCCCTCATTGTTTCAGCTGAAAGGAGCAAGCACTTTGAAGATGGTTCTTTGTAAAATAAATTCATCTTTAACAGTTAAATATAACCACTTTGATTACTTGGAGATTAGAATACTTTTTTTAAAGCTCCTTATTACATCAGCCACTTAAACACTTTCACAAAGACAAGAAGGTGCTACTGAAGATTTTTCTTTTTATGGTAGGTACTATAGTGGCAGATGCTGAAGACAGAACTGGTGAGGCTTTGAAGTTTAAAAACCAGAGTCTCTACGATGTAAGCACAAGAGATATGCCTTTTAGGTAGAATTGTAAGAGTCGTTTCTCCTCTACATAGTGGGGACAGGAAGGTGTGTATACACTGCTCAGCTCTTTTGTGGAGGCATAAAAACTGAAAGGCAGCAGTTGGTTTAAACCTTACTGATTTTTTTTTTTTTGGTTGGTTTGTTTCTGTAGTTCAGATGGATGTACAGACCTCAAATAAATACAAGACAGGCTAAAGGCCTGCCTATTGCAATATAAGCAGTAAATTTGCTATTGCCAGTTATTTCCACAAGAGGAAGATACAATTATTGCAATGTTTACTACAGAAGATACTGAGAATGAACTAAAAATGTCAAACAGGTTTGAAAGGACAACTTTTCTTACTTTATCTTTGCTTTCTTTTTTACACTACTTGAAAGTCTATGACTGAAGTACAATCCATCCTTAGTTCTATGTACAAGATGCTGAGTACTGTAAAGCAAGGATTTGTGGATCTGCAGGTGTTTCGCACACTCAGTATGAGTGTGCTTCTAAAAATAAATTGTTTGCTTCAGTTCTGCGTCTGAATACTTAGAGCCATCGCTTGCCTGGTTTTTCCTTGCAATTCCTGCTAAAATGAATGAAAAGTGAGTTATTTCACATTTTCATCATATATAACTTGAACAGAATACTTCTATTTAAAGGTGATGTTTTATTACTGTTGAGAATTAAGTTGCCAATCTGATACCTGGCTGTTTCCTTTGTGAGGACATCAGATAACCAAAAAAAGCAAACTATATTTCTTTGATACAAAAATATATGTGTAAGAGCCTATTTTTCTTGAGTAGAAAAATTGCTAATTCTCTTAATTTTCTTTCAGCTTTACTTTTGGAAGCTCAGTCAACGCCGTTTCAAATAACTCCCTCAACCATGGCAAATATTGTGAAAGGCCTGTATACACTACGACCAGGTAAAAACAAAAAATGTTTCTAGGAGTATCTTGTACTGTGGTTGTGATATGTTTTCCTAAATATGTGTGCATTTGCTATCTATCTAATGCACATTTTACAAACAAATGTGCGTTGTGTTCTGTCCATCATAATGCTTACTTCTGCTATGCAAAAGGCCCTGGTTCTTGTTGCCCATCTGTGACCTGCGCAAAGTACTGTGTGGATACCAAATTCATTTTTAAAAACTACCCAGCCCTCTACTCTGGAGACATAGGGAAGAATTACTACTATTACTCTGTAGTAAGAAAGAAGGAAGGCTGTTCAATGAGTCAGTCATAGCAGAAGTTTAGAAGCATTGAAATGGTGAAAGTTATATTGTGGGTCACACTTCAAATGGCCAGATCTTTGCTTTGAGATGAATGACTGTTTCTTCCATGAAGCCGTTATTTGGTTGGTATTATTTCATGGAAGAGCTTAATTTAAGTTGCGAGTACATCATGACATCTTGTGTAACAATTATATTGAAAGGAAAATGGTGTTGCACATTTAATCAATTTTGTAACAAAATCTTTGATTCTGTAAGTTTTGGAGAACTGAGTAGAGCTCTAGCCTGTGTATGAAAAGACTTTAGAAACACAGGAAGTATTCAAAATATCCATAGATAAATGGTACCTATTTCCCTTCCTTTTACAATATTGATACTTTCTTCTTACCTTGGTGTGACTGAGGGAAGGATTGTGTCTGAGCTTCAACCTACTTTTTGCTTTGCAGTCCCCAGTTATAAAAGTAGAAATGAGGATGGTAAAGCTTTACAAAAAACTTTAGTGCAATGTTTAGCATGTATACAAGCCATAAATGTGGTGGACCCTCCATTTATAAAATATATGGATAAAGCACTTCCACTTAGCAAGGATTATTTTTACAACAGCAAAATTAACATTTTACCATCATATTTAAGGCAATACTAACTTCATTTTTATAAACTGTTCAGTACCAAAGAAAGAAAGGGTTTATGTGTAAGTATAAAAGTATAATTCTTTTGAAAGCAGGTCAGTGTGGTTTTCTTGTACCACACTTAATATTGTAGATGATGGACTTGTGATTTCCCAGTTTTCCATTTCAGATGATCCCTGTCTTGCTGTTGACTTCACAACACAACAGTTACTGGTTTGGATTGGTGTCATGGGCCTAATCAGATTTTGAATAGTTGTCTTATGTCTGTAAGATCTTTATGAAAATTTCTTCCTACAATTTGTGGTATCTTCTTTCCGCAGCTGGGTAGAAAACCCAAGTGATTGACTTTAAACTATTGCTTAAACAGATACACATTTGCTCTAGTTACCTGCTCCTCAAACTTCTCAGCCTCTGAGAAAATGAGGAACTTCAGTGTCATTCCAACCAGGGGAGCACAGGATAGACTTCTTGATGTAAAAGGCTGTTCTTTGGTGGTGCTGGTTCTTGAATTCTGAAACAATTGGGACAAGAGTTCCTCTGGGATGGTGCTTCTTGCTTGTTTTGTGGGACATGCTCCATTGGATGGATATATCATGGGGACTGGGGAGCAGATAACTGGGGAAGTAAAGCAGCAAATGTAGTCAGTGGGAGGTTCTGGGGGATTAGAGCAGCACTGGAAAGTGTCTGTTCAGGCAGTGCAGAGAGCAAAAGGAGAAGCGATGGTGATGTGGCTGATGGCCCTGAGCTTTCTCTTCTCTTTCTCTTTTACTTTCTGTTCAAGTTGAAAGTACTTGACAGCTGTTAGACTTCAAATGTTGCCAGAAAAGACTGTCTTCTGATTCCAGCTCCAGCATGTGGTGGCTGCAATAGAAAAGGCTGAAGACTGGGCAGGTGCTGGCTTAATTGGATTTAATCTGAAATACTCTTTTCACCTCACCTATAATGATCTGGCAGTGTCATGAAATACGCTACCACAGTATTTCATGGAAGTTGTGACTTCCAAGCCAGTTTATTAGCTTGGCTAAATGATTCAGTATGCTATGATCCGGGGTATCCAGGGAAGTACAGGCCTGTCAGTCTGACCTTGGTGCTGAGGAAGGTTATCACATGGCACGTACAGGACAACCAAGCAATCAGGCCTGGTCAGCATGGGTTTATGAAAGGCAGGTCCTGCTTGACTAACCTGATCTGCTTTTACAACAAGTAAGTTAGTGAATGACAAGGCTTAGTGGATGAGGAAAAGGCTGTGGATGTTGTCTACCTGGACTTTAGTAAAGCCTTTGACACAGTTTCCCACAGCATTCTCCTGGAGAAGCTGGCTTGGATGGGCATACCCTTTGCTGGGTAAAAAAACTGCTGCATAGCTGGGTCCAAAGAATTGTGGTGAATGGAGTTAAATCCAATTGGTGGCCGGTCACAAGTGTTGTTCCTTAGGTCTTAGTACTGGGACCAGTTCTGTTTACTATCTTTATCAATGATCTGGATGAGGGTGCACCCTCAGTAAGTTTGCAGATGACGCCAAGTTGGGTGGAATTGTTGACCTGATTGAGGGTAGGAGGGCTTTACAGAGGGATCTAGACAGGATTGATGGGCTGAAGTCCATTGTATGAGGTTCAACAAGGCTCAGTGCCAAGTCCTGCACTTGGGTCACAACAACCCCATGCAACACTACAGGCTTGGAGAAGAGCGGCTAGAAAGCTGCTGTGCAGAAAAGGACCTGGGGGTGTTGGCTGACAGCCGGCTGAATGTGAGCTAGCAGTGTGCCCAGGTGGCCAAGAAGCCCAACAGTATCCTGGCTTGTATCAGAAATAGTGTGGCCAGCAGGACCATGGCAGTGATCATCCCCCTGCACTCGGCACTAGTGAGGCCACACCTCGAGTGCTGTGTTCAGTTTTGGGCCCCTCACTACAAGAAGGACATTGAGGTGTTGGAGCGTGTCCAGAGAAGGGCAACGAAGCTGGTGAAGGGTCTGGAGCACAAGTCTGATGAGGAGCAGCTGAGGGACCTGGGGTTGTTCAGCCTGGAGAAAAGGAGGCTGAGGGGAGACCTGATCGCTCTCTGCAACTACCTGAAAGGAGGGTGTAGTCAGGTGGGAGTTGGTCTGTTCTCCCAGGTAACAAGCGATAGGACAAGGGGAAATGGCCTCAAGTTGTGCCAGGGGAGGTTTACATTGGGTGTCGGGAAAAATTTCTTCACTGAAAGGGTTGTCAGGCATTGGAACAGGCTGCCCAGGGAAGTGGTGGAGTCGCCATCCCTGGAGGTATTTAAAAGATGCGTAGACGTGGGGCTCAGGGACATGGCTTAGTGGTGAACTTGGCAGTGCTAGTTTAACAGTTGAACTTGATGATCTTAAAGGTCTTTTCCAACATAAATGATTCTATGCTGAGGGAGGTTAGTGCATTGGTTTTTGTTTAAAGCGCCTGTACACTAGTAATGATTATTTAGTGAGTTTGCTGATTAAAGTGAAGACTGTTGAAGCTTGACATCAACCAAGTAATCATATGTGGGAATTGGGTTAAAAACTCATGCTGTGCCTTAGTGAATACATTTAAAAGCATCCTCTTTTTCCAAGTAAAAATGAGGTTTAAGATAACTGTTACAACTTCTGGAAAGTCTGGCTTCAGAAATACTTGAAGAGTATTTATTTTTCTCAGAACTTCTTACACAGTTGCTATAAACCCAGTTTTCATCCTTTGCTCACTCTTCTGTGTTTCATCAGCCTTGAAACAGCTTTACGGTAAACTGTCTTGCTTCTGTAAGGCAGTGTTCAGTGTAATCACATTTCTATCCTGTAGCTGAACTAATACAGGTTAAAATTATATAATGAACATTAAAAAGTGTTCATGTAAGCTGTGGAAGATTAGTGAGAGAATTACATTAATTTATTTGAAATGGAGGATAGAGAAGCAGGGTTGTATGGTGATATTACTGTGCTTTCTAGAAGTAAGGCTCAGGGACGGGAGGTGTAAATTTTGTGAATACACTTCCCCGAGTAAAGTATTACAAATGATCTGATTATCAAGGTGAGTTTGCTGATCATCAGTGCTTGTACTTGAGAGTGTCCGGAGGCTCAGCAGGCCCTGCGAGATGCAGCAAGAACCGAATTTCAATTCGATGATGAGGTTGATGACAAAAGTAATTCCTTTATCTACATGTACACATCTGATTTTAACAGTCTGATTATTTATTCTGCTTTAAGGCTTTGTTTCTGTGGGTTTTGGGGAACAGATTTGGAGGTTTTTTTATTTTAATTCAAGATCCTAAAATGTATTTAAAGTAGAGCAAAGTTACATTTGTCAAAGAGTAAAATTTTCACAAAAGATCTCTTCTATGTGTTTTGTTGTTGCTTTCCCTCTTCTTACAGAATGGGTACAGATGGCACCAGCTTTATTTTCTAAATTCATCCCAAATATTCTACCCCCTGCTGTGGAATCTGAGCTTCAGGAATATGCTGCTCAAGACCAGAAACTTCAAAGAGAGCTTATGCAGAATGGATTTACTAGGTAATAATTATTTAGTCTTAAGTAGTAATTGTGCTGGACAGTGCTGAAATGGTAAAAATGGATACACCTAAAAATATTGAAGAAATAATTTAAGAGTTGATAAAGAACCTTCACAACTCAATGTCTGAAATATGGCCATAAGGCCACGTTTTGAGCACTACCAACCCTGTAGATGGTACCAAAAAGTAGATGATCAGAAGTCTGGAAATATTTTCATGAAACAGCTTACAGTTCGTGCCTCCCTGTGTTTTGATTGTGCTTCTAATGCATGGTCATGTTCTTGTTGAGCCTTTACTTTGGCTGTTTATTTTCCATAAGCTGACTTTTTTCCATGATACTTCCGAAAATATCAGATGATGACTTCTCCTTATGCCACTTTCAGTTATTTATACAGTCAAGGTGTTTATTTTAAACAGGCATTTCTTCTCCGAGTGTTGAAGGGGGAGGAAGAACCAACAGTAAAAGAGACAGCAAAAAATTTTCGTAACTGATATTGTTCACTCTGAACTGTGCCTGTTGCTCTCTGCTTTTCTATTTAATTGCCTGGACAGAAGCGCAGCGCTTTCACCACAGCAGCGTAACACTTTTGCAGTAGTCTGACAAACCAAGACCGGGCTGGGGAAGCTATCGTTCTCTGTTCCAGAGGGGTTTGTTTCTGCATGAAGAGAATACATCTTAATCTTCCCTGTTACCCATGCGGCTCTGAGAATCTGGTCCTGTAGTTTGAACACCCACTAGATGTGGACATGTTTAGTGTTAGATGTACTCCTGGATTTCATACTCTCATGTAGTTTTCCTCAAAGGTAGTATCTGTCTTTGAAGCTTGGTAAATTATTGAGCTTCAGAACTCTACTACTGACCTAAATGCAAATAGCATTACAGACTCACTCCTTGTAAGGCTTTCTGTTGAGGAAAAGAATTTTTTTAAAAAACATGCATGGGTTAAGATACTAAAAGCCATAAGAGTTTGGGCTGAGACAAGCAGTGCATTTGGCCCAAGAAGTAGAAGTCTCAGATGGTTTCAAACTGAGTAGGAATATAATGCTGACAAAGGAATATAATGCACAGAAGAAAACAAAAAACAGCATTTTTAAGCATTGAGTCTTATTAGTTCTGTAGATGGCTTATAATAGTTCTACTTAAAACTGCATTTCACCAGTTTCATGCTTCATAGAGAATTAAAAATGAAATTTCAAGTAGTAATTGTCCACATCCACAATTGGTTTTGAAAACATTTTTCCCTAGGTACCTAAAAATAAGACAGGCTTGTCAGCTTGGCGGGAAAGTTCTTTGGCTGGTACTGGAAGGAGGATACTGTATCAAAGGATAGGAAGGGCAGTAGGAAGGATACTGAACATTGCAAAGGCTGGATGCCTCTGTGGTGCTCTCATTAGAGACTTGGTGGGATCCTCGGAATGTATTTTAGCAACTCCTGTTTTATGCAGAAAAATAATTCTCTAGTGCTGAAACTAATGCAAACCCATAGGAAACCTTTAGAGTGGTCAGTCACTGGAACAGGCTCCCCAGGGAAGCGGTCATGGCACCAAGCCTGTCAGAGTTCAAGGAGTGTCTGGACAACGCTCTTAGTCATATGGTTTAGTTGTAGGTAGTCCTGCGAGGAGCAGGGACTTGGACTTGATGATCCTTATGGGTCCTGTCCAGCTTGAGATACTCTATGAAACTACGAAACTGTTTCTGTCCCATGTGTCCTATGCGACAGACAGGGACAAAGAAGAGATCAGGGCTTGAGTATTGTCATACAGGGAAGAACTAAGTAAAGGTTTCTGTGTCACATACTGTTTGCAGAGTCTAATTTCTAAGAGTTCCTCTTCCTTTTGGCTTTCTGCAGTATGTGATCTTCTGGGTACTGGACATGTGAAGAGTTTCGGTATGCCTCGTAGGTTTAGAAAATTGGCCCACCCTAGCCCCTGCTTTTGTGGAATGGCTTTTTCTACATAGCTTGCTTTCAATTTATTACATAAAATTGAGGACTAAAACTTTACAGTGGAGTAACTGATTGATGGCACTTAGTCTCTGATGAATGTGTTCTGCACAATCTATTTTTAGATGGTTGTACTGCCAGAGAGTCAGTGCAGTCTGGTAAACATGGAGGTTATATAAAGTGTTAGAGTCTGTCATCATTAAAAGGACACAGGTAAAAAACCCCTGAAGTACAGGTGATATAATTTGCTACATGGCATTTCACAGTGATATTTGAAATGCATTTTGCCTTGAAATGTATTTCAAGACATAATATGCTGCTTCTTATATTCAGGAACATAGGTTATATTTATTTATAACTTTACAGAATTGCTTTGATGTTATATTCCTACATATAAAAATATATGTGCATATACGTATAAAAAGGTTGTTTTACTCTTTTTACCAATGAGTGTGCTAAGTCTGTTCTTTTCTGGGTTAGCATGAAATGTCATCTGTTCTCCCTTAATTGTGCCAAAAAATGGTGATATCTTTTGCTGCGCTTCCTATGAAAATAACCAAGAGGAACACAGCAGAGTGAGGTGTCTTCAGCAGCATGCCAGGTTCTAGCTGAAATAGTCAGCTTATCAACACTATTGAATACTGTTGCTGTGGAAAGTAGGAACACAAGCCAGTTGCCTGGCGGTATTTCTCTTGTGAAAGACCTTAATCAAAGCATACAACAGCAGGCCCATCACCTTGAGACTGGTTTCAGGGAAGAACGCTTCGTATTATTAGAAAAAACCCTGATTTCTACGAACTTCCAGCAGATACATGTGAAATTATAACCACTATGATGAAAATATATTGGAGTCTCTCATCCTTTCAATAGCATATCTATCATCACAAGAAACTTGTGAAGCAGCAGGATTTTCTGGCTTTAAGAGTTTGTGTGCACAAGAATAAAAGGAAAAATAATGTTTTTGAAATGGATGGGAATTTGACTTTGGGTTTTCAGGAGCAATGATGCCAACTGGTGTTTATACAACTTCTGTTATTTATTTAAATCTTCTGCATGAAGAGGGAGCGCTGTCAGCTCAGACTTGCTTAGACTCTGCAAGTCTTTCAGGAGCCTGTTACCTTTTTAGACTGATAGATACAGAGTTTTTCGCATAGTTCTATAAAGTTTGGTTGCGAAGTTTGAATTAAGGAAAACAATTTTGTGCATGACTTAAGACCACACTGCATATGAGCAATTTTTCCTCATCTTGATTTTGTAAAAAATTATCCTATAAAATCAAACCTATTATCTTTAACAAAAGGTTGAGCTAATGAAATCTGTAAAATGTAGCTTATATTTCTGCTTTATTAAATTGAGAATCCTGCGGTCATGTGTAATTGCTACTATGTTTGCCTTTTGTTTCTAAAGTCTGTAAAAGTTAATGATTGTGCTGAGGTATTTCACTGTTGTTTTCCTTTTTTCTAAAATAAAAATATCTTTCTTCCCTTTCTTTCCTAGAGGTGACCAGTCACGCAAGAGAGCTGGAGAAGAGTTAACTTACAGTAAGTATGCATCTAACCCTGCCCTCCAGTGTGCTGCAGTCCCTGATGGGTTGGGCATACAGGTAGTGGTGGACTTCTGGGTTCTTGGTGGTGGCAAGGTGTCAGAGGCTGCATCTTCACGTGTAGTTAGCTGCTTGCCAGTGTAACCTTTACCATTCTGAGTAATAATACAAACTTCCTGGAGCCTGAGATGCTAACTGTGATGCCTTGGATGGCTAACTCTGCTAGAGTCCCACAGCCAGCTGTAAGGTACTAAGATATCCTAGCTGCTGAGGCCAAGATACTACCACTTCATTTAAGTACACAGCTGAGGTCTTAGGGGAAAAGAACGTAGTTGCCCCAAGTCCCTGCCTGTTCAGGCTACGCATAACAGGTAATGAAATGATGAGCCAGTCCACCTCTGATACAAATCACCTGCTGGCGACGCGTGTTTCTACTGACGGAACAGAGGGTTTGGAGGGGGTTTACTTTTCAACTTGGAACCCTCAATGACATGTCTAACACAACCCTGGTTCCACCTGCGTTGAGATACTAAAGGCAGTATTTGGCCACAAACACTTGAGTCATGCAGCAAGGAAGTTCTCTTCCATTTGTAGATGAAGTTTCTTGCTGCATGTTTATCTGTGAGATTCTCCACTTTGTTACTCCCTTAATTTTCCCCAGTATAGATTAGGGGGTGGGTGGAAGAAGGGCAGGGAGGAACAATATTTTCATTCTCAGCTGGTTGCTCTACTCCAGACAGCCCTAATCTGAGTTCAGTTAGTCAAAGGTCCCATCTTCTGTGCTGAGTAAATGTTTGGCCAGGAGAGAATCTAGTCTCATTCATTTTAGGTTAGGATTTAAGTACAAGGTCCTCATTGTCCTTGTGCTGGTTTTGGGTGAGGTAGAATTAATTTTCTTCGTAGTAGCTAGTATGGGTCCGTGCCTTGGATTTGTGCTGGAAACAGTACTGATAACACAGGGATGTTTTAGTTATGGCTGAGTAGTGCTTACACAGAGTCAAGGTCTTTTCTGCTCCTTATGCCACCCCACCAGCGAGTGAGTTTTCTTCTTTTACCCTTCCAGTTCTCTGTCACCGCATCCTGCTGGGGGGGGAGCGAGTGGCTGTGTGGTGCTTAGTTGCTGGTTGGGGTTAAACAACCACAGTCATTAAATAGCCTTAGGGACTGGGGAATAGTATCTGTTCTGGTACCGTTAACTTCATTTTATTGCATTCTTTCCACCAAGTTTCCTCCTGTGCTTTCAGCTGAGTATGTTTTCTTTATTTCCTACCATAAAATGTTACACAGTTTTATGATGAACTCTTATTACAACCTGAAATGAAAGAATGGATGTTTACATGGTAGATCAGCTTCAGTTTACACTGGTAACGTTTTGTAGACAATGCTGGATTTTGGGTTGTTGGGGGAAGGGCGGCAAAGGACATAAGGTGGAAGTTTAATATGAGATAATTTCTTGAACTTTTTGTATAATTTCAGATGGCTCATCAGCTTGTGCAAGCTCCAGGGGGTACAGATAGTGAATATACTGGATCAGCTTCTATTCCTACCCAGAACAGACACTGGAGGAGCGCAGGTGGTATCCGGAGCCTCCTTTGGCAACTGCTGATACTCGAGCTCTGACACGAACTATGCCTCAAAGAAGAGTTTTGGACTTTCTTCTTTATATAATAAAATGTCAGTTGCTGCTACAATTGGGATGACTTTGAAAGACATGATTCCTTGGTCTAGCCTCTCAACAAGTTCATGTTCTGCCATTTTTGTGAGGAATGCACCTTGAAAAACAATCTTTTCAAAGTGGAAATGGGCAGCCGAACTCAGCAGCTTCCAAAAGCGTTAGAATGGAAGAATCTTTTTTGCACTCTTTTCTTAATATTAAGGACATTCTTAAAACTAGTTAACACGTCAGTGTATTAGTTTTTAAACTTCAAGGTATTTTCTGGAGCTTTTACTTAAATAATAAGAATAAAGTTTCATTATTTTGCAGTATTTGTTTATTAGTTTAAAAATTGTCACCTTTTAAGAGTTGGTCCCATATAAATGTATCTTCTGTCAGGGAGTTTTAAATTCCAGATTTTTCTTTTATCTCTTTTTTTTTTTTTTTTTTTGTTACTAAGTATTTTTGAAATCTGCTTTCCTATGTGTTTGTACTCTGTGCCTTCAGCTTGTGCACTTTGCAACTTTATAGACCATACTTTGTTACTGCAAAATGTGTCTTGAGGAAAAACTTGATGCAAACAAACATGCTGCAAAGTCGCACTTTTCTCTTGCATTAATGGGAGGTGAATTTAAGGAGGAAGGAAGAAAAGTTGAACCTGTCATCATCACTAACAGTGACTTGGAAGTTTGTCCCTTTTTATTTTTCATATGTATTAGTGTTTAATGCTGGGACCAACTCTTTTAGAACCCCTCTCATTGACGTTTCATTGACTTCCATAATTGCAATAGATTGAGATGTGAATTCTAGATTGAATGAAATACTAAGGTGTGTTTTATGCTGTGCTATGTAGAAACATCGCAGGCAAAATTCTCCAGTCTAGTAGGTCTGCAAAGTGCATCTCCATCAGCACAAACCAGATTTGCACCTGACTGATTAGCGATCAATGGTACCTGTCCAAGATCTCTTTGTGGCTCCTGTGCCATTTCTCCTGTTTCAGGGATGTGATGGGGGTGTTATAGTGGATGTAGTCAGAATCAGGGAGTTGAGGAGTGGTGTTATGCACGCATCTGCACCCATTGGCTTCCCGCTTCCAGTCTTGTGTAAACTCAGCTGGAGATCCAGCTGAGCCCAGTTCCAGGAGATCTGGACCTATGGTCTGAATCCTAATGATTGTGACATGGGTTTTAATCAGTAGTATGGCTAATGCAATTCTTTCATGAGGGGAGAAACATACTTGAAAAAGCAGTTTGACTACAAGTTGGTTTTTTGTTGGTTTTTTTTTTTATTACTGTGGATTTATTTTTTATCACCTTTAGTTATGAAGAGATATGAGTTGATAATACAAAAATCTTTCTGAAGTGAAACAAAAGTTTGTTCAGTTTTGTCTTGCACAACTCTTATGCCTGCTTAAAAAAAACCCACACAAATAAACAACACAGCCCCCTTCATGCTTGCATGAGTTCATTACAAAATGCAGGAAAAAGATAAAATATAGATGCGGCAGGGACAAAGTTTCTTTTTCTTTTGTAGCCAGACTTCATGTAAAAGAATCAAATTCTATCGGTTTCACATCAGTCACTTTGGCAATGCTGTTAGTTTGGGGGGGGGGAAGGGAGAATGAGGAGGACACTGCTGTGATTGACAGATTCCAATCTATATATTCCTTTGCATATCTGCAAAGCCTATTTAATTTTGGGGAAGGTTTTTCTTTTAAAAATGAATGCTTTAGTGTTTTGTTTTCTGTGTAGAACAATGCCAGCAGTCTAATCTCATCCCTGATAGTGGAAAACCAGACCACTCTGGGTAGTGATTTTCAAGTGTTGATAGCGTTTGCTTCAACTTTGCTACCAGTTACTTAAGTTGAAGCAGAATTAGACAAAAACAGGGGTTTTGAAAATTCTGCTGAAGAATGCAGTGGAGAAGTTAATGAAGGCTAATACGGAACAAAAATATTTTGCCAGCTTTCAGATTTTTTTATCAGTTTTGGCTTTAAACAAAAATAAAACCTCGGATAGTGTCCTTAGCTTTAAAAACCACTGTTTGCTGAAACGACGATATTCTTGCATTAAGAATAGATGCATTAACCTAATTTGGTTAAAATTTGTTTACAACTTCATTACCATTCTAGTTCACATAATAAAGTAATCAAGCTCTGTCATCTCTGTCAAGCGATCATAAATTTTTTTGATGGTTTTACTGGCTCGGGTTTGTAAATAACACGTAGTCCTTGCTTCATGTTTGAAGCAAGGGTTCAACATTCATTTTACATTGCATTATGTTTGGGACACAAACTTCTAGAACAATAATTCCATCAAAAGGTACAGCATTCCTGGCAGCGTGGTTCACTTTGTATGCACTGGGTAGTGCATGGATGCTTCTCAGTCCTGTGTAGCATTCTTGGCCACCATACCCGAGAAATCTGTTTGTTAAGCACTGTATTATGTTGTAAATCTGGCATTAAAATTCCTGTATGTTTTGGCATTATTAACATAATGCTGAAATATTGTTTATCTGTCGAAGACTTTATCATTGTGACTGAGCATGAAACAGAATACAGCGTACTATGCCAATTTTGTTTCTCTGTAAACTTGCCTTTTACTTACAGTAAAACTAACTCGGCCAACAATTACCAACAGCATGATCCTAACTGCAGTATTTAATTTAACCAAATAACTTGTGGTAAATTCATTGCATCTGTAGCTTACTCTGTTAAGATTAAGCAGTAAAGTTGGTTATACAATGGGTGTCCTCTTTATGTTGCACTGGTTCTATAGCCCAACCTGCTACATTAAAATATTTTTAGATTAATTTCATTTTGTGATTTGGGAATTTGAAATATTTAAATTCATCCTGCAGACTACTGTGTTCGTAGGCAATTGTACAGTCAAGAAGGTCTCCGATACAAATGATGAATGGGGGGTCTAACTAGGTAAGTACTCAACTCTTCTACAGTTGGATCTCCTTGATGCCTTTCTGCAGTTGTTGAAGTATTTGTGGGTGAGTATTTTGAAGCAAAAGGTTTTGACTCCTGTCGTTTGATAGTAATATGGTCAGATTCATCCCTTTTAATTTTTCCCCTAAAATGATTGTTTACTTTCTACAGATTTGAAAAAAACCACCATAGAAACCAACCAGAAAAGCCGTGTTCTGAGTGACTGAAAAAATGTTTTCCATGTGTGCAATGACAGCCCCAATGAAAGGACTATTCTGTAGAACTACAGAATAAAAACCAGCCGCTTGAATTTGACTACTGTCTTCAACCCAGTAGTTGAGAGAAAAAGATGTTTTGACGACTTGACATGTACCACATCCCGGGAGGGCACTTAGTTCAGCTCACAGTGTACCGGCTATTGTACCTGTAGGATCAATACAGTTCTTGACCACAATGAAAGGTTCTGCTGGGGAGGAATGGTCACTGCTTGGGTTAGCGTACTGCCCTTTCTGCTCTGCTGGGAGGGTGTGATAACCTGGGGATAGTCACTGTGCTGATGCCACTCTAGCTAAAGATTCCTTTTTCTGAGGGATGTCTTGTGTTGTAACCATTCCTTTAACTCTTGAGATTGCTTTTCACAGCTGAATACTGGAAATAAGTCTTGATGATAGTATATGCTTCCGTTGGTGGTTGCTTCGCTGCTCTGAAGAGTTCCTTCACTGCTCTTAGCGCACCTGCACTAGAAGCCTTTAAATGCACATTAAAGATCATTGCATCTCTGTGGAGGTGTTTGTGTGGTGTAATACTGAGCCGCAAACTGCGGTTGAAATATTGTCATTACATGGGAAAAAATATAGATGGTGAGGCTTTGTGTCCCCCTTTCTCTGACGTGGAGGTCTGCACTAACGGATACATACGTGTGCCTCACTAGGACGAGGTGCAGCCTTCTCTGCTCTTCCCTCGGCTGGGTGTAAGCAGGGGAGCGTGGGGCCCTGCAGTGCAGTTGCCTTGCTAGGCTGATGCTTGCAAGTCATGTCTGCACTGTAGCATGGATTCATGTCCCATCATGCACATGCTTAGCACAGAGTCTGATTTCAGTCCGTAACTATCGTGACTTTTGTGAAAGAAAATTGAGGTCTTGGTTCTATTCAGTCTATTTCTTGGTAGGAAAGAGGAGAATTTGCAGGAGGAGTCTGATCTTTCCTTCTGGAGCTTTCTTGGGAAATAATGTGGCTGGTAGAGGAGAAGGATCTTTCCTCCGAGGAAAAGGACCATGGGTCATGTGTCTCTGATTTCTGTTTGCTGGTCTCCAAGGCAACTTGATGCAAGACCATCAACCATGTTGAGTGTACTATGCCTGTAGCACTGCAAGACTTTTAATTCTGGTTTTAATCTAGGCTAAACTATGATCTTTTTGGTAGGCTTACAAACTTCAGGTATTGATAATCACGGAAGGCGTGAACCAGGGGTGGACTTCCTGTGGCAGGTGTCATTCTAGTAATTACAGGTCAGAGGAAGTTATTTTCTCCCAGAGGATATTACTACTTATAGCACAAATTGGTGTGATACTGGCCAAACAAGGTATTTTTATACCCATAGTGCCTGTTAACAGAAAAAGGTCAGAGAATCTAAATTTCATCTTTATCAGCGCTGAAATACACTGGCTTTGAATGGGGAGCAGAACCACGTGCGAGGGGAAGTCTCACCGTCTGTCAGGAGGCAGAAGATCGGCATTAACTGCATTAGCAAAACAAGACAAACTTGCTGATTTGGCCTCAGGTGAAAGCTCCTTGACAAAGTGCTTTGTACTTTGCTAGAGGGAGTGGAAGGATTAAATCCATATATCTTGACCTAACTTGAATGACTGGTTTAAGGGGATTCCAAAATTTCATAGGCGATGAGTACTCAGAAGTCACTTCTGGCTGTCTCCCCTGTCCCTGGGATGCTCCAGATACGCTTTGGTTAACATTCCTCTTTCTGAGTTTCTGCTAACTGATCTAATTAGCACAGAACAGGAAAGTTCGCTCCCTTAATGATGACAGAATGAATTTAGTAATAGCGCTTATTGCCTTTTTAGTATTTTTTTCAACTAATCATTCCTTAAGAAAAGCTGTTACAGTTTCTGAGATGACCTGGGTCGTCGCCAGTTTCTGCTAGCAGGCAGCAGATTATTTATTCGTTAGTGCCATTTGCCATCCATCAGCAAATTGAACGATTTTGTACAGAAAACAGTTCATAAATGAGTATCTGGGGCTGGTCGGTAGATGTTTCCCTGTGGATGAGGTGCATTGCCAGGAGACGAGCACCTGTTCAAAGTATAAGCTAGGTGGAGGTCTGAACGTATGGCCCAAGAGCTGAGGTGGTGCATCTGGGTAGGTTCGTGCCGCTGTCCCA